TACGTGTATTTCTCAAATGATGGAAGTTGCAGAGAAGAAGAAGACAACAAGAAAGAGATGGGTTTTGTCAATTGTATATGTATATTAACGTTCGTATAGGGTTTTGAATTAAAAAGATGAGAATACCCCTAGCGTGTCAGACATGTGGGCTTTTTAACAGGGATGGCTAACGGGATATTCACAGAAGGACCAAACGTGTAAAAAAAACGAAATTTGTACAAACTACAAAGACCATTTCAGTAATTTGTTCTAATAAAAGACCATCTAATTCTAAAGATGGCGTTTACTATTATCATCTTGCGAGGCATAATGTGAGTAAAAAAGGAGAATTGTTCAAGAATCTCAAAAGGATGCTTATTATTCTTAAGATGATCATTAAAGTTTATATTCAACCATTCATATATGTTGAGACCAAATTGATAGATATGTGTAATCAAATTAAATACATATTCCATCACCTAAATAAACGAAATCCCCAATTTTATGTGATTAACCATTATATGGGAATAAAATAAGATTAAGAAGTATTGTAAATTTGGGGAAAATCAAATTACAAGTTAAAAAAAAAATTATGGCCGATGAGTGGGCAAATCATATCTGGTTTGGAAAACAATATTTTTGTCGAACTTTCTTTTTCAGCAGTGAACGAAGTTCGTCATGGCGTAAGGTATTTTCAATTATTCAGGTTCAATCAAGGCGTTAATGATATTTTTTCACTCAAATTTTAAAAAGATACATACAAATAATCTTTGTTATAATAAAAAATGTAAATAATGTAAAGAAGTTATTGATCAAAACGACATTTTTATGGGATATTGGTTGGCATGTATAAACTATTTTATATTTTAAGGTTATTGCAATTTGATGTTTGATGAGACCACAAAAGTAGTTTATCGTAAATTATAAACTAGCTTATAAACTAGTTTTTTATTAAGCCACTTTAGACAGTTTATTGATAAGATAATTTATATGTTAAAAACCGGTTTTTCTATTAGCCTGCCAAACACAGTTTAAACGATTTTTTGTCTGATTTTCAAACTTGTTTTTTCAAACAAGTTCCGACCCAATTTCAACCGCAAACTACCCGAACCAATAGTAACCCATCAAATCGAACCAAACCAAACTGATTTTGGAAAACCTATTTCCATATGGTTTTTAACTATTTTTCCCTAAAATGGTTTGGAATATTTTGGACTTTGCATGCCCATCTTTAGTAGAAAGTAGAGAAATTTTATTTTGTACAAAAACAACTGAACAAGGCCCAACTATTAGGCCTCACAAGCCCAATGCTTCTTCCAACCATTTTTATCTCCTTAATTTCTGAATCTTATTCTACAGCCAAAATTTACCATTTCATAATCATCACTTTCAGATCGTCATCTCTGCCGTGGTTTTTCGCTCTTCGAATCTCCATTTTTTATTCTACGCAAGGCTCTTCGTTTTTCCCACTCTCACGTAAGTCAAATCCTCTTCATCTGAAACCCTTACTCTGTTACTCATTAATCTAATTTCAACGATTCAATATTTCTATAAGTTTGTTCTAATTGGCCCATGCATCGTCTTCCCGAAAATTCCTCTGTTCTTCCATAAAGTCATCAACCAACGTTCAATTGATCGATATCACCGATCTCTGTCTAATATCAATCGAATCTCATTCTGTTATTCATGTTTCAAAATCTGTCAATCTAATTGAAAATTGTGAGCATGTTACATTACACGGTTCGATTAAAGCTAATTCTTTTTTGGGATTCCATTGATGACATGATGAAAATCTGCAGGAAGATGGAGGAGACACCTTTTAGGGCAAGAGAGAAGCTAATTGAGAAGCAAAGATTGTTTCAAAGCATTCAGAATAGCACTCATCTCAAGGGTCCGATGGATAAAATCACATCTGTTGCTATCCCTCTTGCATTGGCTGGATCTTCGATCTTTCTCATTGTGAGTGTGTGTATTCTTTCACCTTCACTGGAATTTGTTGGGTTTTTTTTGTAATTTGTTTGTGTTCTTTTCTTTTACAGGTTCGAGGAATTTATAACATGTCTCATGGGATTGGAAAGAAAGCATAAGCATATGAATTTTTTTTTGAAGGTTAAATAATTACTAGGTAGCATAAGTGTTACTTAGTAATGGTTGTGTGATTTTATTGATTTGTTTGCTGTGGATTAAGCATGGCATTTTGAGATATCATTGGAATTATGTTAATAATGTTGTTCTTGATTGAAAGCTTTTGAATATATTGCATGGAGAAAATGGCTTGTAGTGCGTCATTGCAAAATCATAAATTGGTTTTAATTTATTATAGAGTTTTTTTTTTAGGAAAAAAACTTGAAGTGTGTATAAGGAGTTATAAGGGTATTTTCAGGGTCGGGCCAAGATGATTGGAGGCCCGGGGCAAAATAAAAAATGGGCCCTTTCGAAAATTTTATGTATTCGTATATTACATTACTTTATACATACATAACAATACATTTAAATTCGTACACAATAGAATCGAGAAAACTAAAAATACAATGTTATTAGAAGTACAAAAATACTAAAGTTTCATCCCCTTTGTTTCTTCATTAACTTGTTCAGTTATGTTCATGTATATAAGTTGTTGACCTCCAACTGAAGTAGATTTATCATCGATAAAAAGTTGTTAGGTGAATTGCTTAAATCCATAATACTTGTTGTTAATAACCTAAAAGTAGTTGAAAAAACTATTCAACACCAGAAAATTCTATACATATCAAAAACATAGAAATAGAAATAAAAAAGAGTATCATTCATAAATCAAAAATAAGAATATTAACATTACAAATCGAAATTAAGCAATAAAGTTCAAGAACTGTCTCTAATTCAAAAATATTAACATTTGATTATGTCTCTAACTTGAACAACCTCATAAAAATCGAATATAAAAAAAAAAAAATAAGAAATTTCAAGAGCGATAGAACATACAGAGATTCACAATTATATTCAGAAATCAATTTCACCTCTAACAGTCGATTCTGAAAACTGAACCTTCAAATTTCTAGAAATTGAGAAAGAAATCCAATTTGAGGCAGTGATTGGAACTCTCGATTAAAACCTCTAGGCCAGATTCCTAAAATTAAATCAAATAACCTGATTAACTTCCCATTGGTACTATATCAGAAAAAGGAAATCGACAACAAGAAGGGAAACAATAGAGTTTCCCGTTTTTCTGAAATCGTGAAAAGAACGAGACACAATCAGTCTCTCAATTCTAAAATAACATTCGATTCACTAATGGTTGTTGTGGACAAATTCAGAAAATCAGAAAAGAATAAAAGAAAACAATTAACTTGAAATCTTGAATAACAAATAGAAGAATGATCGTTAACTCTTGCTTTTGGAGAAGACGTCGTTTGGATTTTCCATGGCAATGTTTGAGTTTTCTATAGAAATCTGACTGTTGAAGAGTTACGACACCTTGGAATTAGGTCGCATGTCAAGTAAGTCTCGTTCTCTCCCACGCTCTATCTTTTGGATTAGTTCCTGATCAGAGTATTGAGGTTTGAAATAGTTCAATAGGCTAAAAAGTAATATGCTGTTAATATATAACCAAAATAACAAGTTAAAAATTAGGGCCCTGTAGCATTTGGGGGCCCGGGGCGGTCGCCCAGCTTGCCCATGCCCACGGACCGGCCCGTATTTTTGGATCCAGTTTTGAGAGTTTTAAGCTCGAGTTAAAGTATTAAACAAAAAAGTTATAATCTAAAAGATATTTTTCAATTAGTTTTTTTTTACAGCTTTTAGTTTGCGTCTTATCTCATTTTATATATTTAAAAAGACTACAAGATTGTTTGATATGTTTTTTAGTGAGTTTATTAGGTTTGACTATATCGATTCAAATTGTTTTGATACCAAAGTTTTAGTACTACTTATCAAACACTCTTAGAATTATTTTTATCAAACATTTATCCATAAATATAAAATATGGTTCACAACTTCTAGTAGCAAACTAGTTTTCCCAAACTAACTCTCAAATTATGGCCCAGCTAAACATTTCTTTGCCGTTTTATGTTGGATTTGTAAATTTGTCAAAAGCAGTTGGAATATTGCACTTATAAATTACCATATTTGTTATTATATTTGTTATTGTTTTTATGTAAATAAACTTGTATGAAATAGACATAAAATTGATTTTAATTGAACCGTTCCCTTTTCCTGGTAACCAATTCGAACAAAGTTTTTAAAACATTGGATATTAACAAAAGGATAAGATAATATAATATGATTGTATTTCATTTCATTTTATGTCAACCAAATAAGTGATGAATTCCACTATTTGGATTCGATACACCTGACATTTCTATTTATTTGTTTGTACTTTTTATCCATTTACTTAAAAAAAAAAGTAATTTGACTTATATACCGTTTGTGGCCACATTTTGTAAATTTAACAACTTATTTTATAAAACAGTTAACAACATCATCTAGACAACTCATACCAAACTTGACCCAAAATTAGGGGTGACAAATTGGGTAATCATGTTTTTTTTCCTGACACGACACTACACAATATCGTGTTTTTTTTAACTAACAAGAAAGTTAACTGATTAAAAAACGACAATCACGACATGACAAAATAACATAAAATAACAATTAGTTTTCTTAATTAATATTTAATCATACATAACTCGAAAAACACGACAAACAAATGTTAAATCGCGTAAATTTCCTTTTGAATTTTGAACACAAATACTAAACACACAACATCGTGTTTTTTTATATTTGAACACAACACGAACACGAATTCAAATTCTAGTTTTATCTCAATTTCATTTTATATCATGTCATATATCAACTATCACGAGTATCCAAAACATATTTAAATCACAAAAAGATAATTAAATCAAAGTTTGAATGTTGAACCTACCTATACAATTTTTTGCATCTAAATTATGGTGGCACTAACAACCATAATATGATGGTCGACATGCCAAGGGACAACATAGTCATTGTAATTTATCCGTACACGGTCCAAAAACGCACACCGTGTCTTCCAGTTTCCAGCGCCGGTTTCCTTTCACCATATCCAACTAAATGACAACTTTACCCTTCCTTGTTTTCCCTATAGGATAATCGATCACTTTCTCCGCTTCATATAAAACTGACATATCAGAGTATCACACACATCATAAGTGCCAGGGGTCCAGGGTTGCCCAACCTAATTCCTAATCCTATTTCTGGATATTCCGAGAAGTTCGCAATTCTAGTAGCTCAAGATTCTTCCCCAATTTACTCAATCTTTTCCATATCAATGGATTCATGACGACGTAAGTGGTTTCTTCGATTCTCTCCTTTTGTATTACCTGATCACTTTTTGACCTAGGTCATGTTCTTCTTCCGAATATTAGTTTCCATGATTCGTTTTTTCCATTTTGCTGTTACTGAAATGTGATCTACTATCTTTCTTCTGGTTAAACTTTCTTTTTTATATATACAAGGACCATGTTTGTTTAAGACAAGAATACATGGGCTGTAATTTTGCGACTCCCTTTTGGCGCACCATGATTATTCACTACATAACAATACCTGAGATACTTCTGTTTTGATTTCTTTCTCTCTCTCTCTTTTTTCTATATCGATTTATACGTTAATTGTTTGAATTTTGTGGTATGTGTAGGAAGTAGATTGAATTGATAACATCATCGCGATTCTGTGTGTATTAGCTCAATGGCTGCTACTTCAGAAACTGTTCTTCAAGTTCTATGTAATGCTGGGCCTAGCAAATCCCATACCAGATTATCCTCCAACAAGTCAAATTTCTTGGGGTTATCTAAACCTGGCTTCAATTCTGCAAGGGCAAAAGGGTCTGGTTGCACCAAAATAGAAAGTTCAAGGCATAAAAACCACAGGAGGATCTGTGCATTTCATATTGTTGACCCTGTTCACCATGGATCAAATCTTAATGATCGATTTAGGTCTTTGAGCTGTAAATGCCAAAAAAGTGACAGTGTTACCGATGTGGTTAATGAAGAACTAAACAGGAAGATTAATGGAAAGATAGATCCTCTTCTCGATGGCAATTTGGGTACAAATGGAAATGGAGCCTTTAGCAGTGTATTACCAAATGCTGACATAGACTCCAAAGAGGAGGAAGCATGGGAGTTATTAAGAGCTTCCATGGTTTATTATTGTGGTAATCCAGTTGGAACTATTGCTGCTAATGATCCAAGTGACTCTTCCATTCTCAATTATGATCAAGTCTTCATACGTGATTTCATCCCATCTGGGATAGCTTTTCTTTTGAAAGGAGAGTATGATATTGTTCGCAACTTCATCTTACACACCCTTCAGTTACAGGTGATTAATGATTTCCCACTCTTAATCTAATAAAACCATGTCACTACACACTTTTTTTGTTCATATTTTATCTTTATTACTTCATAGAGTTGGGAGAAAACTGTGGATTGTCATAGTCCTGGACAAGGATTAATGCCTGCAAGCTTTAAGGTACGTACAGTTCCACTTGATGGTGATGATTCTGCAACTGAAGATATTTTAGATCCTGATTTTGGTGAAGCAGCCATTGGTAGAGTTGCACCAGTTGACTCTGGTGAGTAAAATTTACCTTCTTTATCATTTATAAACAGAAGGGTAGAATCGTCATTTACTCTCACATTGATTCAGGGTTGTGGTGGATCATATTGTTGCGAGCATATGGGAAATGCACAGGGGATCTTTCTGTTCAAGAAAGGATTGATGTGCAAACTGGAATTAAGATGATTTTGAAGCTTTGTCTTGCTGATGGTTTTGACATGTTTCCAACTCTTTTAGTGACTGATGGATCATGTATGATAGATAGGCGTATGGGAATTCATGGACACCCTTTGGAAATTCAGGTACCCTTTTTTTTTCTTGAACATCCTATGTAGCTAAATGCAAGAAATTGCAATGCACTTTCATTGGTTTATTTACTATAACATTCTACAATATAGTACTTTGAAAGTATATTGCTATTTCTTGCAGGCATTATTCTACTCAGCCTTACTTTCTGCAAGGGAGATGCTTACACGTGAAGATGCATCAGCAGATTTAATGACAGCATTAAGCAATCGACTTGTTGCATTATCATTTCATGTGAGAGAATATTATTGGGTTGATATGAAAAAGCTTAATGAAATCTACAGATACAAAACAGAAGAGTATTCATATGATGCAGTTAACAAATTCAACATTTATCCAGATCAAATTCCACCATGGTTAGTTGAATGGATGCCTAATAAAGGAGGGTATATGATTGGAAACTTGCAGCCAGCTCATATGGATTTTAGGTTTTTTTCTCTTGGGAATTTATGGTCTATTGTGAGTAGTCTTGCAACAAGTGAACAATCACATGCGATTTTGGATCTTTATGAAGCTAAATGGGGAGAACTTGTTGGTGATATGCCATTGAAGATTTGTTATCCAGCTCTTGAAGAGCAAGAATGGAGGATTATTACTGGAAGTGATCCGAAAAACACGTAGGTATTGTTTGGTGTCATGGAATGGAATCGTTCATTCCGTTGATGGAATGGAATTGGCCATTCACAAAGGAATGTGGTTCTTTCCATTTTGTTGATTTTCATTCCTTCTTTTTTTATTCCATCGTGGAATGGAATGATAATTACAATACAACCCTTTTTTATTTACGTAATTTTCAACGACATAAAATCTTTTTTAAAAACAAAATATCATTATTTCATATAAAAAAAATTATTTTTATTCTAACTTATTTGGGCTTTTATTATGTAGGCCTTGGTCTTACCACAATGGAGGTTCTTGGCCAACTTTACTTTGGCAGGTCAGTTTCATCCTTACAAACTACAAAAAATATTCTTTGGATTTTGATGAAATTGAAGAAGGAATGGAATCGTTCATTCCCTTTCTATACAAATTCCTAACTTTTTCTTCTTTGTGTTATTATTATTATTCAGCTGACTGTGGCAAGCATAAAGATGAATAGGCCTGAAATTGCTGAAAATGCAGTAAAAGTTGCTGAAACACGTATAGCAAAAGACAAATGGCCCGAATATTATGACACCAAAAGAGGAAGATTTATCGGGAAACAAGCTCGCCTTTTTCAAACGTGGTCAATTGCAGGATACATTGTTGCAAAACAACTACTTGCAAATCCAGATGCTGCAAAGATGCTTGTAAATATTGAGGATATGGAACTTGTTAACGCATTTTCTTGCATGCTTAGTGCGAATCCAAGGAGAAAAAGATCACGAAAAGGTCTCAATCAAAGCTTCATAATCTAAACCGGAATGGAATCGGAATAGTAATTTGTTATGGTAATGGAGTTGGAGTTGGAGTAGTGTTTTGAGGTTGATGAAAGGAATGAGGCATGGTAGGGAATAGGGATGGGGTAATGGAATAAGGAAGGTAATGGAATAAGGCATTACATTCCATGATTATGTTTTGCTTGCTTATAGGAATTTCGGATGTTTTTTTTTTTTTTTTTTTTTTTTTTTTTTAATTATATATGTAAATACAATATATAATTTTGCAAAATGGTTATTCCTCCATGCTTCCACAAACTTGACTCGGTTTGCAAATTGCAATGTCGCATCCCAAGAACATCATGTATGGTGCAGTTTCAATAGATGAATAGTCGGTTCCTTTATAAAATGAAAGGTTGTTTAAAGACGTTGATGCTCACTAACGTTTTGATTTGAGAATAGAGATTAAACCATGATGTTTTCATATTTAAATAAACTTGGAGTTCTCGTATAAGAACTAGTTTGATAAGTTGGTGGGTTAGGGATACAACTACTTCCTTCACATTTTTTGATTTTTTAGAATTATAAGGGTGAACGGAGTTGATGGTGGGTTGTGTAAGATGGTCAATGGTACCGTTGAGGTGACGAATCCAAGGAGTAGCAGTAGGTACCGTTGCATCAAGTGAACGATCTTTAAAAGAATGTAACGTTTTCAACAACATCTACAACTGTAAGTTGAATATTTTGGCTAGCGGGAGATCTGAGATCGATATTTTAAAATCGGCACAAAGCGAGTATCGAGGCTTACTAACATGAAAGCTTTTCCCCATGAAAAAGCTAGGGATATTCTAAAAAACCACACAAAATGGTTGCGAAGAAAAAAACACAGTGAGTCTTCACCAGTGAACTCGAAATGCTCTCGTTAGAGTGAACTCTTGTATTTTTTTATTGTGTTGATGGTGAACAATACTCTCTAGACTAAGCCTTCTTTATCAAAACGAACAAAAACATCTTCATCTAACACCTATACAAGATCTCCAGATGCACATTTTCACATGGATTCGGCCAACAAGAGGAGGAGTTTCATGTTGTTGACTCGCCACCTTGGAGACAACAAAAAGAAAAGAAAACGACATTGACATACTCACAACAGAATGAAATAGTTTATATCATCAACAAAATCGCCGAAATCCACACTGTAAATAAATCGGAGGTAGAAGATGGATACCCTCCACCATAAGATCAAAGATTTGAAAGTTTCATGGAATTACATGGAGATTAAGAGTGATTTCGGTAGCTAAATAAATATTGGGATGAAAAAATGGTTGGGAATAGGTATTTATAGGGTGAGTTTTGGGAGAGAAGTTGGAGACTAATTTCTGGTCGTTGATAGACCGATCCGGGACCGAGACCGGTCAATCCCAAGATTCATCTGGGACTGCCTCGGGACCGACGGTTTGCTGAAAATGGGGGACTTGACCATACAGTCTGCACCGTATATGAATTTTTTGTTCCTAAACCGGTTCATCTTCTATTTTTTTAAGATCTGTTTGTTTGGGTATATTTATAACAATACACAAAATTGGTTTCGAAACCCCAAATAAAGCTGATGAAACTTTAAATAACTATAATAATAATAATAATAAAACATTACTTTTTATTTAAGAAAGACATAATTGCAATCTAATTCAAATAATAATATTTTAAAAGAAGTACAAATGAGTCATGCTATGATTTCATTCCATTCAATGATTTAGTTGATAATAAAGAGTTATTCAATGTGTACTTAAACTTCAAGAAGTTAACTAATTTAATGTTATTTCGATCACTCTACAAGACAACAATCCCACATCGCTCATCAACGCAGGCCCTAGTGTATGAAGCATCACTTCGACTCATTCGTCGCCATGTATTTGTTTTTGTCCTCATCAAACACCTTGAATTGTTCCATCATATCCGTCTTTTACTACTTACTCCTTACTAGTCTGCTTTTATAGTTTTTGTTACCATTCTCTGTCTAATCTGCATGATCTATTTACAGTTAGTTTCATCATACAAAAACTTCAACATAAGAATGAACGTAAGATCATGCTACAATAACAAGTAGGGAGTAAAAATGGTACGGTACCATATATTTTTCTCCAAATTATATACCATACCAACTATAGCTGGTATAAAAATACAATTACTATTACCATATACCTTACAAAATATATTTGGTATGAACTTGCTTGCAACTTGGTTGATGCAAATTGATAATTGTATATACCAATAACACAAACTAATATGAAATTGACAATATATATATATATATATATATATATATATATATATATATATATATATATATATATATATATACACACACAAAAAAAAAAAAAAAGGATGCGGTATATGGTATACCACCGGGACGGACGCAGGAATACATATTAGATGTTGTCGAAGTTGAAATAAATGTTGCCGGTGAAGGAAAAATATGTAAAAAATATCGAAAATTGAAAAAAAAAATTCACTGCATACGTGGGAACTAGGTGTAGTCGGTGTCACACCGGACACCTAGGTAAAACCGCCCCTGTATACCACATGATCTACCTCCTTGTACATTGTGTTACCATAGCCAAACTACAAATTTAAAAAAAAATAAAATAAAATAAACTCACAAATATTGAATCTAGTCATTATACATTTACAATACATAATGTAGATCAACCCTAATTAATCAAATAGTACATGTACACCCATGGTAGGAAGTAAGTTATAAGAAAATAAAAGTGATAATATATATATATATATATATATATATATATATATATATATATATATATATATATATATATATATATATATATATATGAGAATGAAGGAGAAAATGTAAATGAAAATTAATGAGAAGATGACCGAAGCTATGAGGTACGATGAAAACCGGCTAAAACCTACACCAACAAATAATAAGAATGTAATATGAACAGTTCAAACAAATTTAATAGTAATGTGTCGACAAAAAAGAAAAAAAAAATGTGAATTATGAACAAAACCTAAACTATATTAGTTTTAGAAGTCATTAACCCTTAAAAAATAGAAAATAATAAATATAATCAAAATCCTTAATTAGCAAAAATAGTAATAAAAAAATGGTATTTTAAAAATGTCCAACAATTACACTGATGGAATTGGTGAGTATACGCCTTTGATTTCACTAAATGGGCTATGAATTTTGCCCATTTTGACCACGTCAAGCCCAATAATGTGTAGGTATAAAAAAAATGTTTTCTTTTTTTTTTTTAATATAAAATTGGATGAAAAAATGTTTTTTTTTATTATTTATAAAATTGGATGACTAAGAGCACCTGCGATTTCTTCTGGCTTGACTTGCGATTTTGGAGTTTTTCTTCTTAATAAAAGTTTGTCATTGTGACTATGATTTTTCTTCTTAAAAAAAAGGTCAGGTATGAACAAAACCTAAAATATATTAGTTTTAGAAGTCATTAACCTTAAAAAAAAATAGAAAATTATAAATATAGTCAAAATCCTTAATTAGCAAAAATAGTAATAAAAAAAAAAGGTATTTTAAAAATACCCAACAATTACACTGATAGAATTTGTGGAGTATAAATCCCCCTCATTGCCTTTGATTTCACTAAATGGGCTATGAATTTGGCCCATTTCGAGCACATCAAGCCCAATAGTGTAGGTATAATGAATATTTTTTTATAAAATTAAATGACTAAGAGCCACTTGCGATTTCCCTGACTTGTGATTTTGGAGTTTTTCTTCTTGATAAAAGTTTGTCATTGTGACTATGATTTTTTTTTTTTATATATTAAATACGATTTCTAATCTATTTGACTATGATTTCATACATTTTTATTAGTGTATATATAAATTGTAGATAAAATTGGTGTATCGGTGTTTTTCGACAATTATATTTTTTTACTAAAATAGCATGAATTCTATAGAGTTTCACAAGTTGGAATTCTAGCATTTTATTTTAGGAATTAAGAATTTTAATTGTCATATCTATTTTTTAATTGTCATTTTATCTTTTTTTTTCATTTGTACTAATTTCTTTTTAATAAATAAATGTTATGTTTTATGTTATTACTAATTTTTTAGTTTTAAATTAGTAATAAGAGTTATATAAAAAAAAATGAAATTTAAATGGTTTTGAAGGAATGAAAAATATGAGTTTTCATAAGTTGTGAAATTAAAGATGTGGAATAGATGACAGAAAGAAAATATAGATTTGTCAAATGGATTGCCAAGAGTGGGAAAGATGGATACAATTTCACATGTAGATTTGGTCAACTATGAAATCACCCTCATTGTATGGGATTTCACTAAATAGGCTATGAATTTAGCCCATTTCAACCGGATCCAGTCCAATAGCGTGTAGGTATAAAAAACAAGAATTGTTTTTTTTTTTTTTTATTAAATCGCAAATGGCCAAGAGTCACCTGTGATTTTCTCTGGCTTGACTTGCAATTTTGGTGTTTTTTTCTTAATAAAAGTATGTCATTTTGACTATGATTTTGTATATATTAACTATGATTTTTGATATGTTTGACTATGATTTCGTACACTTTTACTAATCTATATATAAAATATAGATAAAAATGGACTGTCGGTGTTTTTTGATAGTTATATTTTTTACTAAAATAGTATGAGTTCTATAGAGTTTTATTGAATATTTTTCCTTTACGTTAAGGCATAAATAACAAAGATACATGAATAAAACACTAATATTAAATATTGTAAACATTATAAGAATACATAGAAAATTAAATTAAACAATAATACAAATACGAAAAATACATAATTAAAAGACTACTACTAAAGCGGACATACATAACCAGATAAGTAAACAATTATTATCATTATTTTTTTATTACATTCGACAACTAATAAAAACTATAAATTAGAAATACGACATATCTTTCAAAATATTCCAAGCGCCTTCGTGTGCAAAGTTGGCCCTATCAATTTGCATTATGTATGACTTCCTAGCTGCTTCCAAAAAAACATTCACATGTTCATTCGGCAATTCAATGGATATATTTTCATAATTTTTGTTGAAAATATTCACCTCTCTTGTTAACTCCTTAAACATAGTCTTCACTTCTTGTTTTGTACGATTGACTCTACGACATAATTTATAGTGAAACATATTTGTCAAGGAGACTGAAAGTGATCCTACCATCAAATGTGGGAGACCAGTGATAGTAATATC